TCTGACTTAAAAAATTGAACACGACTGAAGATTCCTCCCAGGTAAAAGGTGGCAGGAAAAGAAAGCTCTTGCTGCCCATGGAGTGCCCAGGGATGCCAACTGCATCTGAAACCCAAAGGTTAAAGGCTTTCTTTCCTGGGGGAAAGGCCGTGACTTCACAGAGTCCCCTGGCAGATGGGTCGGGCTGCACTGTGGGGTTGTGAGGTGTTGGTTCTTTGGTTTCCAGGGGCTATTCCAGAATGCAGAAGATAGGCTGTGACATCACAATGGGCCCCATGGCACACCGGTGGGGCTGCATTCTGACCTAGTGGGGTGTTGGCTGCTTGGTTTCCAGGAGCCCGTTCCAGAAACGAAACTACAGCCCATGACTATGGCGTTTTTTTGGATCACAGCAAGGGTGTTAAAAAAGCATTCTGGGAGTTGTGGTCAATGTGTACTCAATCACACAAGAGCAGTGGAGAGCTCGTTTAGGATTGGTGCCCACAAGTCCTCGTGTCACTGCCTCCAGCAAGAGGTGCAGCTTGCAGCTCCCACTGCATGGCACACCTGCAACAGGGAACAAAAGTTTTCAGTGGCATTTCTGACACTTCCCTGGACCCCTGCTCCTCCTCGATACCTCCCCGACTCACCTGGGACGCTCATGTCTTTCCAAAGAGTACGGGCAAGCACCTCAAAAAAGAAGGTGGCAACGCTTAAATGCCCAGCCCTGAACTACCCTGCCATTCCCCACCAGGCCAGTACCAAAGCACTTGACCTTGTCGCTCCGCTCCTCGACCCGTGGCTCTGCTCCTCTGGCAATACGGATGGCCACTGCAAAGAAATCACACAGGCAAAAGCAAATAGAGACGGATCCCCTCCGAGTAAAACATTCTGAACAACTTTCCCTCTCAGGTTCCTTTACGCTCACCTCTTACTGCAAAGACCTCCTTCCTATTCTGCTGACGCTTGTCAGCTTGTGCACCACCGGAAAAAAAGCAAATGACAAAGGATGTGCTTAGATTCACCAAAATTACAAGGCGCCACAAGTACCACCCGATTCTTACTGCCAGGAAAATGCTCACCTTCCTCCTCTGCACTCTGATGTCAATAGCCCCAACAGCCGGGTGCATCCGACCTCAAGAGAAAGAGCAAAAAAGGTGCTCAAAACATGACCACTGTCAAGAAGGGCCACATGTGGGGTCTGGTTTCAGGATGGCTGCCAGCAAAGCATCCTGGGACTAGTAGTTTTTAAGTACTCTAGTCCACATGTGCAGTTGAATGCTTGGATAGGATTGGCTGATTCGGTCACATGTGTGGTGACCTGTCAGCATTTGAAACTTCTATAGAAGCCCTTGTGTCTTCCAATAAAGCCTGGCATTTGTTCCATCCCACATTAGTGTCAGTGTCTGGTCCGTGGGACTGTTTCTTTATTATATTATTACAACTGTTACATTTGGCAGCCAGACAGAACCTTGGAATATGAGTAGCAGGAAAATGCTGACCTTGCTCCTCCACCCTCTAGCGCCGGTAGGCCCCCCAACCGCCTGCATCCCCCTTGAAAAGAAGAAGAAGAAAAACACGCTCACAGAATGACCAGTGTCAAAAAGGGCCAGAGAAAACCTTGGATTCTGGCTGGCAGGAAAATTCTGACCTTGCTCGTCTGCACTCCGGTGCCGATAGCCCAAACCAATGCTTGCATCCCACCTCGAAACAAAAGAGCAAAAACACACTCACAGAGTGACCACCGACAAGAAGGGCAGAGATAACCTTGGATCATGGTTGGAAGGAAAACGCTCACCTTGCTCGTCTGCCCTCTGGTGTTGATAGCCTCAACAACCGCCTGCATCCCACCTCGAAAGAAAGAGCAAAACCACCCTCACAAAATGACCACTGAGAAGAAGGGCCAGAGATAACTTTAGATACAAGCTGGCTGGAAAATGCTGACCTTGTTCGTCTGCATTCTGGTGTCAATAGCCCAAACCAATGCTTGCATCCCACCTCGAAAGAAAGAACAAAAAGAGGCTCACACAATGACATCTGACAAAAAGATCCTCTAAGATCTGCTGAGCCCTCTCTGGCTGGGTTTGGCCTGTCCTGGAGAGCCTCAGGTCTGGTTGGGCTGCCCCAGGCAGACACTGGAGGAAGAAGAGCCCAGGCCTCCTGTGTCTGCTGTCCCTGGGGCTCAGCCTGTGCCCCATTCCTGCCCAAGGGCTGAGCCCACCTCTGCCTCAGGGCCTTGGGCAAAGGGCTGGCGAGGGAGAGGCCCAGGAGCCTTGGGGCCTACCATGGTTGGCCCACCACTTGCACCTGAGACCCCCAAAGTAAGGACTTTCTTTCCTAAGGGAAAGTGCTGTCATTCGCTTGCAGGAGCCCTGTACTGAAATTGCCAGTCTGACTTAAAAAATTGAACACGACTGAAGATTCCTCCCAGGTAAAAGGTGGCAGGAATAGAAAGCTCTTGCTGCCCATGGAGTGCCCAGGGATGCCAACTGCATCTGAAACCCAAAGGTTAAAGGCTTTCTTTCCTGGGGGAAAGGCCGTGACTTCACAGAGTCCCCTGGCAGATGGGTGGGGCTGCACTGTGGGGTTGTGAGGTGTTGGTTCTTTGGTTTCCAGGGGCTATTCCAGAATGCAGAAGATAGGCTGTGACATCACAATGGGCCCCATGGCACACCGGTGGGGCTGCATTCTGACCTACTGGGGTGTTGGCTGCTTGGTTTCCAGGAGCCCATTCCAGAAACGAAACTACAGCCCATGACTATGGCGTTTTGGATCACAGCAAGGGTGTTAAAAAAGCATTCTGAGAGTTGTGCTCAATGTGCACTCCATCACACAAGAGCAGTGGAGAGCTCGTTTAGGATTGGTGCCCACAAGTCCTCCTGTCACTGCCTCCAGCAAGAGGTGCAGCTTGCAGCTCCCACTGCATGGCACACCTGCAACAGGGAACAAAAGTTTTCAGTGGCATTTCTGACGCTTCCCTGGACCCCTGCTCCTCCTCGATACCTCCCCGACTCAGCTGGGACGCTCATGTCTTTCCAAAGAGTACGGGCAAGCACCTCAAAAAGAAGAAGGCAACGCTTAAATGCCCAGCCCTGAACTACCCTGCCATTCCCCACCAGGCCAGCACCAAAGCACTTGACCTTGTCGCTCCGCTCCTCGACCCGTGGCTCTGCTCCTCTGGCAATACGGATGGCCACTGCAAAGAAATCACACAGGCAAAAGCAAATAGAGACGGATCCCCTCCGAGTAAAACATTCTGACCAACTTTCCCTCTCAGGTTCCTTTACGCTCACCTCTTACTGCAAAGACCTCCTTCCTATTCTGCTGACGCTTGTCAGCTTGTGCACCACCGGAAAAAAAGCAAATGACAAAGGATGTGCTTAGATTCACCAAAATTACAAGGCGCCACAAGTACCACCTGATTCTTACTGCCAGGAAAATGCTCACCTTGCTCGTCTGCACTCCGATGTCAATAGCCCCAACAGCCGCCTGCATCCGACCTCAAGAGAAAGAGCAAAAAAAGGTGCTCAAAACATGACCACTGTCAAGAAGGGCCACATGTGGGGTCTGGTTTCAGGATGGCTGCCAGCAAAGCATCCTGGGACTAGTAGTTTTTAAGTACTCTAGTCCACATGTGCAGTTGAATGCTTGGATAGGATTGGCTGATTCGGTCACATGTGTGGTGACCTGTCAGCATTTGAAACTTCTATATAAGCCCTTGTGTCTTCCAATAAAGCCTGGCATTTGTTCCATCCCACATTAGTGTCAGTGTCTCGTCCGTGGGACTGTTTCTTTATTATATTATTACAACTGCTCCATTTGGCAGCCAGACATAACCTTGGAATATGAGTAGCAGGAAAATGCTGACCTTGCTCCTCCGCCCTCTAGTGCCGGTAGGCCCACCAACCGCCTGCATCCCCCTCGAAAAAAAGAACAAAAACAGGCTCACAGAATGACCAGTGTCAAAAAGGGCACGAGAAAACCTTGGATTCTGGCTGGCAGGAAAATTCTGACCTTGCTCGTCTGCACTCCGGTGCCGATAGCCCAAAGCAAGGCTTGCATCCCACCTCGAAACAAAAGAGCAAAAACACACTCACAGAGTGACCACCGACAAGAAGGGCAGAGATAACCTTGGATCATGGTTGGAAGGAAAACGCTCACCTTGCTCGTCTGCCCTCTGGTGCCGATAGCCTCAAAAACACGCCTGCATCCCACCTCGAAAGAAAGAGCAAAACCACGTTCACAAAATGACCACTGAGAAGAAGGGTCAGAGATAACTTTGGATACAGGCTGGCTGGAAAATGCTGCCCTTGTTCGTCTGCATTCTGGTGCCGATAGCCCAAACCAGTGCTTGCATCCCACCTCGAAAGAAAGAACAAAAAGAGGTTCACACAATGACCTCTGATAAGAAGTGCCTGGAAGAACTGCAAAGACAGACCCACGAGAATCTTCCATGGGGGATATGCTACGCTCTGCCCTGCACACCCTAGTGCTGCCCGTAAAACTCAGCCTCTCCGCTTCCCTCTCCTAAGAGACTTCACCTTAAACATCCCGTTCCCTACGCTCATTTCAAAAGCCCTCCTGGCAATTCCCAAGCCTCTACCCGGCTCTCACCCTCTCTCTGCCTCCACTTATCTTGCAGAGAGACGAGCCTGTCAATCCACCTTCCAAAAGCATCGGCCTTCGGCTGCCTCAGGGCTTCCTGTAGTCCCTGGGTTCTTCTCTTCCTCAGCTCCAGGAAGGAAACCAAAATCAGTGCATGACTTTAGCAGCACATCGGCCAAACCCCAACCATTCCCTCACTCACAGTCTCCTAAGTGCCCCCAAGTCCTCCTGTCACTGCCTCCAGCAAGAGGTGCAGCTTGCAGCTCCCACTGCATGGCACACCTGCAACAGGGAACAAAAGTTTTCAGTGGCATTTCTGACGCTTCCCTGGACCCTTGCTCCTCCTCGATACCTCCCCGACTCACCTGGGACGCTCATGTCTTTCCAAAGAGTACTGGGCAAGCACCTCAAAAAAGAAGAAGGCAACGCTTAAATGCCCAGCCCTGAACTACCCTGCCATTCCCCACCAGGCCAGCACCAAAGCACTTGACCTTGTCGCTCCGCTCCTCGACCCGTGGCTCTGCTCCTCTGGCAATACGGATGGCCACTGCAAAGAAATCACACAGGCAAAAGCAAATAGAGACGGATCCCCTCCGAGTAAAACATTCTGACCAACTTTCCCTCTCAGGTTACTTTACGCTCACCTCTTACTGCAAAGACCTCCTTCCTATTCTGCTGACGCTTGTCAGCTTGTGCACCACCGGAAAAAAAGCAAATGACAAAGGATGTGCTTAGATTCACCAAAATTACAAGGCGCCACAAGTACCACCTGATTCTTACTGCCAGGAAAATGCTCACCTTGCTCGTCTGCCCTCTGGTGCCGATAGCCTCAAAACACGCCTGCATCCCACCTCGAAAGAAAGAGCAAAACCACGCTCACAAAATGACCACTGAGAAGAAGGGCCAGAGATAACTTTGGATTCTGGCTGACTGGAAAATGCTGACCTTGCTCGTCTGCATTCTGGTGCTGGTAGCCCAAACCAATGCTTGCATCCCACCTCGAAAGAAAGAACAAAAAGAGGCTCACACAATGACATCTGACAAAAAGATCCTCTAAGATCTGCTGAGCCCTCTCTGGCTGGGTTTGGCCTGTCCTGGACAGCCCCAGGTCTCGTTGGGCTGCCCCACGCAGACGCTGGAGGAAGAAGAGCCCAGGCCTCCTGTGTCTGCTGTCCCTGGGGCTCAGCCTGTGCCCCATTCCTGCCCAAGGGCTGAGCCCACCTCTGCCTTGGGGCCTTGGGCAAAGGGCTGGCGAGGGAGAGGCCCAGGAGCCTTGGGGCCTGCCCAGCTTTCCTCCTCCCTGGGGGCTCCCAGTCCTCTCCTGACACCCTGTTGGCCCCAGGACTTGCCGACTTTGGGCTCACGGCCCGCTGGCACCATCCCACCGGTCTGATCCCCCTCCTTGCCCTCTCTAAAGCCGCTCCTGACTTTTATCAAGGCACCATCTAAGGAAAACCCTGGTTATCAGAAATGGCACTTGTGGGACGGCTGCAAGGCTCGAGTCTGCCAGGCAAGAGCAGGAGCACAGAGAGCCTGAGGAGCCAGGAGATGCTCTGGTTGGGCATTGTGCTGCTGTGGGAAGAGCTGACCCCTCTGCACAGTCTGTGCCATTCCTGACAGCCAAGTTCTGCCCGGGCTCTGTGCACGGGGACGGAGCGCTGACAGTTTTCAGCCCCTGCGCTGTTCCACAAAGGCTGTGATGTCACAAGGTCCTTGCCTGGCAGCCAGAAGACGGGCAAGGCAAGGCAAGGACGGAGCCTCTGAGCCACCAGCACTCTGTCCCAAAGGCTGGGATGGCACAGAAGCCCAGAATCCATGAGGCTGGCAGAGACTTCAGAGATCAACAGGCATCCAGTCTACCACTCATCCCCAGGACGTCAAGCAGACCACAGCACTAATGTCCACTCTGTCCCTAAACACCTCCAGACACGGTGACTCCACCACCTCCCTGGGCAGCCCATTTCAATACCTAATCCCTGTTGCTGTTCAAAAATTCCTGATCCTTTCCCGACAATCATCCCCTGACAGGCAGGTCCTCACGTCCTCTTGCCCAATCGCCTGTTGCCTCGCAGAAGAGGCTGACCCCACCTGGTTCCACCCTGCTGTCAGGAAGTTTTGGAAAGTGAGAAGGTCAGCCCTGAGCCTCCTCTTCTCCAGTTGCCTCAGCTGCTCATCATAGGATGTGCACTCTAGACCCTTGTCCAGCTCCAACAAACTCCAGCCCCTCAATGTTCTTCATGAATTGAGGGGCCCAGAACCAGACACAGCACGCCAGGTGGGGCCTCACCAGTACCCAGTCTAGCGGAGGAATCACTGCCCTGCTCCTGCTGCCCACACTATTTCGGATACAGGCCCAAAAGGCCATCAGAAGAGCACTTGACCTTGTCGCTTGGCTCTCCGGCCCGTGGCTCTGCTCCTCTCAGAATACGGGTGGCCACTGCAAAGAAATCACAGAGGCAAAGGCACCAGGTGTGGCCTCAGCAGTGCCCAGTCCAGCGGAAGAATCCCTGCCCTGCTCCTGCTGGCCCCACTCTTTCTGATCCAGGCCAGGATGCCCTTGGCCTTCTTGCCCACCTGGGCACCCGCTGGCTCAGGTTCAGCCTCTGTTGACCAGCACCCCCAGGGGCTTTCCCACCCTTTGCAGCTACTCTGCCCCAGCCTCAAGCTGAAGGGGGTTCTTGTGGCCAGAGGCACCAAAGGCACTCTTGAACCTCATGCCCATGGTCTCGGCCCAGAGATCCAGCCTGTCCAGGTCCCTCTGCACAGCCTTTCTACCCTCCAGCACATCGACACTGACACCCAACTTGGGGTCATCTGCCAATCTGCTCATGGAAGATTCAATCCCCTCATGAAGGTCTCCATGAAAAATGTGAAACAAGACTGGGCCTGTTACCCAACAAGTTCTATTTCCTGACAAAGGAGCCCACGCAGCAGTGGGGAGAAATTGTTGGCAGGAGATTGAATCGGTGAAATAGACAATGGATGATGGACCAGGTCCAGGGCCATCCTTTGTTAGAAAAACAAATGGAAAGTGTAAGGCCTGTCATACTTCAGTGGTCATAGACCAGAGAGAGAAAACAATTTTTGGGACTGGGACACAAAGAATGCAGAATTCCTAAGCCATAAAGACACAGAAACCAGAGATGAAGACAAAACTAACAGAGACAATCACTGAGACTCTCTGTAGCCAGGGAAAAATAAGAAAAGGACAAAAATTGTGGACTAAGTATCCTGCAAATAGCCAATAGAAGAGAGAATAAGAATTAATTCAGAGAGTTACAGACCTCATAAGGCAATGGACATTAATTCCTTTGTTTGCTCAAATGTATAAATAGTTCAAAGTTTTGAGAACTGATGTCCATGTGTTAGAGAGCAATCCCCATGTCCCTTCAACTCTTGAACCTAACCAGCTGATCAGAGATTTTCTTCCCTGGCTTTTGCTGACAGTTTCTGGGGACCCAGATGAGACAAAGTAGCCCTGGCACGGCAGACCAGAGGAACTGTTGGCCCTGCAGCGGGTACCAAAGGAGTTTTGGAAAGATCTTCCAATTGCCTGGTCTAGAGAGTTCTCCACCCCTTCTTTTCTGAGAAAAAGAACAGGACATTAATTTAGGGTGCTTGATTTTGTGTTTTTTTGCCTGTACATAAGGCACACCAACGGGAAGGACGCAGTGTGAGGCTGAGAGGTTTCTGCCATGGTTTGTGGGCTTGGGTAAGATTGGGAAATATTTACGGGACGCCCATAAAATCTTCGTTTTGGGAAAGGTTGGGAAAGGAGTTCAAAGGTAGTTTTGTCTGAGGTGTTAAACATAGCAGGGGCGTCTATCTTCACAATTCCCAAGACAAGAGATGGCAGAAAGCTGCCCTGCATGTTCTAGTTTAAGGAACAGAAGAAGAGACCGAGGGTAAGGGGTTTCTTTCCTGGAGGGACGGGCTGTCATTCACTTGTAGGAGCCCTGCACTGAAATTGCCAGTCCGACTCACAAATTTGACTATGGACAAAGATTCCTGCCAGACAAAAGGTGCCAGGATAGAAAGCTCTTGCTGCCCATGGAGTGCCTAGGGTGGCCCACCAACTGCACCTAACACCCAAAGGTTGTGGGCTTCCTTTCCTGGGGAAAGGGCTGTCGTTCCCTTGTGGAAACCCCACGCTGAAATTGCCAATCCAACTCCCAAAATTGAAGACAGACGAAGATTCCTCCTGGACAAAAGCTTCCAGGACAGAAGGGTCTTGCTGCCCATGGAGTCCCCAGGGTGGCCCACCAGTTGCACCTGAGAGACTGAGGCTATGGGCTCTCTTTCCTGGGGGAAAGGGCTGTCGTTCGCTTTTCGGAGACCTGCTCTGAAATTGTCAGACCTACTCCAAAATTGAATACCGATGAAGATTCCTCCCAGACAAATAATGCCAGGAAAGAAAGCTCTTGCTGCCGATAGAGTACCATGGTTGGCCCACCACTTGCACCTGAGACCCCGAAAGTAAGGACTTTCTTTTCTAGGGGAAAGTGCTGTCATTCGCTTGCAGGAGCCCTGTACTGAAATTGCCAGTCTGACTTAAAAAATTGAACACGACTGAAGATTCCTCCCAGGTAAAAGGTGGCAGGAAAAGAAAGCTCTTGCTGCCCATGGAGTGCCCAGGGATGCCAACTGCATCTGAAACCCAAAGGTTAAAGGCTTTCTTTCCTGGGGGAAAGGCCGTGACTTCACAGAGTCCCCTGGCAGATGGGTGGGGCTGCACTGTGGGGTTGTGAGGTGTTGGTTCTTTGGTTTCCAGGGGCTATTCCAGAATGCAGAAGATAGGCTGTGACATCACAATGGGCCCCATGGCACACCGGTGTGGCCTGCATTCTGACCTAGTGGGGTGTTGGTTGTTTGGTTTCCAGAAGCCCATTCCAGAAACGAAACTACAGCCCATGACTGTGGTGTTTTTTTGGATCACAGCAAGGGTGTTAAAAAAGCATTCTGGGAGTTGTGCTCAATGTGGACACCATCACACAAGAGCAGTGGAGTGCTCGTTGAGGACTGGTGCCCACAAGTCCTCCTGTCACTGCCTCCAGTAAGAGGTGCAGCTTGCAGCTCCCACTGCATGGCACACCTGCAACAGGGAACAAAAGTTTTCAGTGGCATTTCTGACGCTTCCCTGGACCCCTGCTCCTCCTCGATACCTCCCCGACTCAGCTGGGACGCTCATGTCTTTCCAAAGAGTACGGGCAAGCACCTCAAAGAGAAGAAGGCAACGCTTAAATGCCCAGCCCTGAACTACCCTGCCATTCCCCACCAGGCCAGCACCAAAGCACTTGACCTTGTCGCTCCGCTCCTCGACCCGTGGCTCTGCTCCTCTGGCAATACGGATGGCCACTGCAAAGAAATCACACAGGCAAAAGCAAATAGAGACCGATCCCCTCCGAGTAAAACATTCTGACTAACTTTCCCTCTCAGGTTCCTTTACGCTCACCTCTTACTGCAAAGACCTCCTTCCTATTCTGCTGACGCTTGTCAGCTTGTGCACCACCAGAAAAAAAGCAAATGACAAAGGATGTGCTTAGATTCACCAAAATTACAAGGCGCCACAAGTACCACCTGATTCTTACTGCCAGGAAAATGCTCACCTTGCTCGTCTGCACTCCGGTGTCAATAGCCCCAACAGCCGCCTGCATCCGACCTCAAGAGAAAGAGCAAAAAAGGTGCTCAAAACATCACCACTGTCAAGAAGGGCCACATGTGGGGTCTGGTTTCAGGATGGCTGCCAGCAAAGCATCCTGGGACTAGTAGTTTTTAAGTACTCTAGTCCACACGTGCAGCTGAATGCTTGGATAGGATTGGCTGATTAGGTCACATGTGTGGTGACCTGTCAGCATTTCAAACTTCTCTATAAGCCCTTGTGTCTTCCAATAAAGCCTGGCATTTGTTCCATCCCACATTAGTGTCAGTGTCTCGTCCGTGGGACTGTTTCTTTATTATATTATTACAACTGTTACATTTGGCAGACAGACATAACCTTGGAATATGAGTAGCAGGAAAATGCTGACCTTGCTCCTCCGCCCTCTAGTGCCGGTAGGCCCACCAACCGCCTGCATCCCCCTTCGAAAAAAAGAACAAAAACAGGCTCACAGAATGACCAGTGTCAAAAAGGGCCAGAGAAAACCTTGGATTCTGGCTGGCAGGAAAATTCTGACCTTGCTCGTCTGCACTCCGGTGCCGATAGCCCAAAGCAAGGCTTGCATCCCACCTCGAAACAAAAGAGCAAAAACACACTCACAGAGTGACCACCACCATGAAAGGCAGAGATAACCTTGGATCATGGTTGGAAGGAAAACACTCACCTTGCTCGTCTGCCCTCTGGTGCCGATAGCCTCAAAACACGCCTGCATCCCACCTCGAAAGAAAGAGCAAAACCACGCTCACAAAATGACCACTGAGAAGAAGGGTCAGAGATAACTTTGGATACAGGCTGGCTGGAAAATGCTGACCTTGTTCGTCTGCATTCTGGTGCCGATAGCCCAAACCAGTGCTTGCATCCCACCTCGAAAGAAAGAACAAAAAGAGGTTCACACAATGACCTCTGATAAGAAGTGCCTGGAAGAACTGCAAAGACAGACCCACAAGAATCTTCCATGGGGGATATGCTACGCTCTGCCCTGCACACCCTAGTGCTGCCTGTAAACTCAGCCTCTCCGCTTCCCTCTCCTAAGAAACTTCACCTTAAACATCCCGTTCCCTACGCTCATTTCAAAAGCCCTCCCGGAAATTCCCAAGCCTCTACCCGGCTCTCACCCTCTCTCTGCCTCAGAGCCCTCCACTTATCTTGCAGAGAGACGAGCCTGTCAATCCACCTTTCAAAAGCATCGGCCTTCGGCTGCCTCAGGGCTTCCTGTAATCCCTGGGTTCTTCTCTTTGTCAGCTCCAGGAAGGAAACAAAAATCAGTGCATGACTTTAGCAGCACATCGGCCAAACCCCAACCATTCCCTCACTCACAGTCTCCTAAGTGCCCCCAAGTCCTCCTGTCACTGCCTCCAGCAAGAGGTGCAGCTTGCAGCTCCCACTGCATGGCACACCTGCAACAGGGAACAAAAGTTTTCAGTGGCAATTCTGACGCTTCCCTGGACCCTTGCTCCTCCTCGATACCTCCCCGACTCAGCTGGGACGCTCATGTCTTTCCAAAGAGTACTGGGCAGGCACCTCAAAAAGAAGAAGGCAACGCTTAAATGCCCAGCCCTGAACTACCCTGCCATTCCCCACCAGGCCAGCACCAAAGCACTTGACCTTGTCGCTCCGCTCCTCGACCCGTGGCTCTGCTCCTCTGGCAATACGGATGGCCACTGCAAAGAAATCACACAGGCAAAAGCAAATAGAGATGGATCCCCTCCACGTAAAACATTCTGACTAACTTTCCCTCTCAGGTTACTTTACGCTCACCTCTTACTGCAAAGACCTCCTTCCTAGTCTGCTGACGCTTGTCAGCTTGTGCACCACCGGAAAAAAAGCAAATGACAAAGGATGTGCTTAGATTCACCAAAATTACAAGGCGCCACAAGTACCACCTGATTCTTATTGCCAGGAAAATGCTCACCTTGCTCGTCTGCACTCCGGTGTCAATAGCCCCAACAGCCGCCTGCATCCGACCTCAAGAGAAAGAGCAAAAAAGGTGCTCAAAACATCACCACTGTCAAGAAGGGTCACATGTGGGGTCTGGTTTCAGGATGGTTGCCAGCAAAGCATCCTGGGACTAGTAGTTTTTAAGTACTCTAGTCCACACGTGCAGCTGAATGCTTGGATAGGATTGGCTGATTAGGTCACATGTGTGGTGACCTGTCAGCATTTCAAACTTCTCTATAAGCCTTTGTGTCTTCCAATAAAGCCTGGCATTTGTTCCATCCCACATTAGTGTCAGTGTCTCGTCCGTGGGACTGTTTCTTTATTATATTATTACAACTGTTACATTTGGCAGACAGACATAACCTTGGAATATGAGTAGCAGGAAAATGCTGACCTTGCTCCTCCACCCTCTAGTGCCGGTAGGCCCACCAACCGCCTGCATCCCCCTTCGAAAAAAAGAACAAAAACAGGCTCACAGAATGACCAGTGTCAAAAAGGGCACGAGAAAACCTTGGATTCTGGCTGGCAGGAAAATGCTGACCTTGCTCTTCTGCACTCCGGTGTCGCGGTTGAGGCGGGACACGACACAAAACCCGTGCGGATCCAGAGGCTGGAACACTTTATTGCACGATGTCTGCTGCTTTTATACACTTTTTAGGCTACACATGTCAACTCTCCACTGGTTCCCACATACATAAATATTCTTCCATTGGCCACTAACGGTGTTATATAACTCTGCTTACTGCGCATGTCACGAAACACATTTTGCTGTGTTCAGCACATTTTACCGGAAAACCATATTGTTACAACTTCCGGGTCCGGGCGTAATTCTCCCCTGAACAAAGGTTCCTGTTAACTTCAATTCTTCCCGAATCCCCCAGGCCAGCTGGGGGAGAACCACCACAATTCCCCCTGTTTTTGTATTAAAGAAACTGCCAACGAGTGCCATCCATTGCGGGGCCCCTTGCAAGGGAGACACAAACCACGGCAATATCGATAATACAAAAACAACTAAACGAACAGGCAAGAGTTACAGCCCAGACAGTGCTTTCGTTATTAGTCCATGGCAGTAGCATTCAGTTGTTAGGTGTGGCCATAGATGGACTTCACGTATCTTGTGGGAGTGGTTCATCCAGTACAGGGCGGACACATCGAGCAGGTACCCAGCGTGGTCCTTCATCTGTGGAAACACAAGCATACCCTCTGCCCCAAGTTAATAGTTCACACGGTTGAGACCACTGCCCTGTGTGCAAATCTTTTACCCTAACTTTCACCCCAGGGAGACAGGTGTGGACTTTTGTAAGGAGCCAAAATGCCGGACCATGGGTGGATCCCGCTGGCCCTCCGCGATGTTAACAAAATTGAGCACATAGGTAGCCTTAGCGAGGCGAGCTTCGGGGGTTTCCCCAGACATTCCCGCCTTCTGTTTTTCTAATTGACGCTTAAGGATACCATGTGCTCGTTCCACAATACCTTGACCCTGGGGAGAGTGAGGAATACCAGTGACGTGAGAAATTCCCCACATTCGGAGAAAAGATTGCACCCGGGAAGAGAGATAAGCAGGGCCATTATCAGTCTTAATTTGGTGTGGCACTCCACACATAGAAAAGGCCTGCAGCCAATGGCGAATGACATCCCGGGCAGTTTCACCTGCATGGGCAGTAGCGACTATAACAGAGGAGAAGGTATCCACAGATACATGTACGCATTTCAAACGGCCAAATTCCGCAATGTGGGTCACATCAGTTTGCCAGATCTGTAAAGCTTGCAGCCCTCTCGGGTTAGTGCCATAAAAGGCAGGTACCGATTGACCTTGACAGTCAGGGCATGCAGCAATAATGGAGCGGGCTTCAGCAGACGTCAAATGAAACTGCCGCTCCAAGGCACGCCGGCTTTGGTGAAGAAATTGATGCGAAGTGATGGCCTGTTGACGAAGATCAGGCACTGGACCCAAAGCGGTTGGTGAAACAAGGCGATCTGCGCGAGCATTCCCCGTGGCGATGAAACCTGGCAAAGTGGTATGACTGCGCACATGTAAAATATAATAAGAATTAGTACGTTTTTGAATCGTTTCCCACAACAGACGAAGGACCCCAAACAAAAGGGCATTTGAAACCTCTCGAAGGACCGATTTATCCAGGCGTTGAACTAAGCCAGCCACGTATGCAGAATCAGTGACTATATTGAGGGGGCAGGAAAAATGCTGAAATGCAATAGTAACTGCGCGTAATTCGACAACCTGGGGTGAACCTTCCTGGAGTTCGACCATGTGTTGCCAACTGTGACCATCGTGCCAAGTCCCAGCAGCCTTGTTTGTCTTTCCGGACCCATCAGTAAATACAGTGGGTCCAGGCACAGGCGTTATGCAAGAAAGCAGCTTCTGACTTAACGTGACTTGTTCGTGCAATTTACACAGGGGGTGGGAGGGCAAATGGTACTTAATAGTACCAGTATAATTGGTCAGTGACGCTTGTAAGGCGGAACTGTTGGCCATGCACCATTCAAAATAGTCTAGTTGCACAGGAACTACAATGACCTCAGGGTCACGTGCAACAAGTTCCGTGCAACGGGTACGTGCTCTGACAATTAGCTGTGCCAGAAGCTCAAACAAACCGGGAGCTGTTTTCTTGGAGCGTACTGACAGGAAAAGCCATTTTAGCACATGCAGGGGATCTTGCCAGGCAGGGTTCCATTGTGCAATCATGGCAAAAGGAACCATGCTTTCGATAAGAATATACACATGAATTGCAACATCAGTGGCAATTCTCCATAAGTGTTTAGTTTGCATGCACTGTTCCACTAAAGCAATAACTTGCTTTGCTTGGGGGGTCAATTTCCGAGGAGCTCGAAGGTCAGAATCGCCTTTAAGAAGATTAAGTAAAGGCTGAATTTGGGATGGAGTCAGGCCAAGACAGGGACGCAACCAATTTATAGTCCCTGCCAATTTTTGGACATCATTTAGAGTCCTAATATTTGTTCCCAATTTGAGGGCCTGTGGCTGAACGGTACGTTCAAGTACCTTCATGCCAAGGTAAAGCCATGGC